TAACATGAATTGACTCCATATATTAACCATTTGTAATTTCCTTAAAATCAATTGGCTGGGTGATGGGATATTTTGCTAACAGATAGTTGATGATGTCATTGTTCGAAAATACATGTTGGAGATAGGGTTAGCAAATGTCCCCTGAAAATAATAAGAAATATTTTGTGGTGACATCAAGATTAATGCATTATGTCATTAAGCCCCGCCCCCGTCGCAGCTGTCCCATATTTTAGAGGGGCTGAGTTGGCAACTCTAGTTGGAGATGATACTCAGCTACTATTGCACCAAATTTTAGTTCAATACCTGTAAGATTAGCTGAGTTGTTGCCATTTTTTTGGGCGGCCATTTTGAATCGGGCTGATCAGTACAGCTGATGACCTTTCTGAGAATCACATTTTAGAGGCATTTTTTTCATTAAAAGCAACAAGTAAAGCAGCGAAACGTTTATAAAAGACACTGATCTGTGTCTAAAGCAGCTGCAGAATCACAGAGGGAGAAAAAAGCAATCAAACTCAGGCGTGTGAAGCCTTGGTGGGTGGAACAAATTGGCACTTGGAGTTTGAACGAGGTTTTATTTACATTTCCTGATCCAAGCTGAGCGAAGCGCCCGTGTATGTGTTGGGATTGTAAAAGCTTTACAGTTAAAAAAAGAAAAAAAAAGGGGAAGAAAAAGAAAAAAAAGAAACCAATTACAGAGAAAGAGCAGTCTGGAAATGGCTTCGAAGGCCTCTGCCTTGCTGCTTCCCACAGTGGAACTGGTGTCTCTGAGTCCATGTTAATGTCATATCCAGTTACACAGAATGTCCTTACGGTGTGGGAGTCCACAGCTTTGATGCTGATTGCCTGAAGGTTTAGTTGCTCTTGGCTACAGATTTTATATATATTTTTGTACTGTTCTGGTTTTCCAAAAATAATTTACTGATGGGTAGGAGGTCTGGAGGCTGAGTGGGAAGATGGCTCTGAGAGAGGAGAAAGTTGCTCTAATGATGTCGTGCCTGAGCTGAGCTGGATAAAGGTTAGAAATCACACAAGACTCGCTTAGATTTAGTTATTACTTTGTGCTTTTTTTAACTGAAAACAGGCTTTTATTAATTGAAAAAGCAGATAATATGAAGGACTCAGTCCTGGAGTGAGTTAGTACCTTCAGTGTTTGAAATAATAAACTAATGAGCCATGACTGACAAACGCTCTGAGTCACATTGATTCATGATAGCAGCTAAGAAACCTTAACCAGTAAAAACCACCAGAACTCTGTTAAATTAACAGATATTGAGCTAAATGTTGTGTCATTAACAACACATTCTAACTTCAAACAGAATACTGTTCAAAGTTTGATATAAACAAACAGCTAAAACTCCTCAAGATCARCTTAGTTTAAAAGTCTTTAACTCTATCACACCTCTGCTCATGAAATTGAAGAAATTTTGTAACTGATTAATTGAATATTAGATTCAGTTTTGTATTTTATACTTTCTGATCATTTCAGTCTGTAAGGTTAAAACAGACAAAGAGTTGGTGTGTGTGTGTTTTCATGTGTTCTTTCTCTTAGCCTAAACAAAACTGAGTGACGTTCTGACGTCTGACGTAAAAGGTAACACCTCTGGGGTGTAACCAGGAAGGGATAAACATTATAAGCTCAATTCATTATTATAGTAAAAAGAAGTTGTCAGTGTTTTGCAGAGTGTCTGCTCAGAGCAGAGCTCCCGTGTTTGTTTTGGTTTGGCCCAAGGTTGTACGCTGCGGCTGAGAGCTGAATGAACCTGATTGGAGTCAGAGGACTGAAATAAAGTTTTTAACAAGAAATCCAGCTGAATCCTGTTTATTCGGACATACCATATTAAAACACGTATTTCTTACAAAATGTTGCAGGAAAACATTCAGTTTCTGCAGGTTTTAAGACACYCTGAGACAAGCTGTTTGTGAGGCTCGTTCACGTTTTATTTTTAAATTTTTTTAACCAGGCGATTTGGTGACTGTAATCCTGCAAACTGTTTCAGACTTTCACTTCATCAACACAGCTTAAAAGGCTAAAATCAAGATTTAGAAAAGCCTCTCAGTGGATTTATTTCACATAAAATAGAACATCCTCGGTTTAAATCTAATATTCATGAGTCTGTCTAGAATTAGCAGAGCAGATTTCTTAAAAGTCAAAATTAAAAAAACAAACAAACAAACAAACAAAAAAAAAAACTAGAGTATCCAGCATTTCTTCAATGTTTCTATGAGGGAAACTGTTACATGGATGCATAAATGTACCCAAATCTATGGAATAAGAAATAAAATCTTCATGCAATAAAGTGAACTCTGACACCAGAGTCCRTGCTGGTTCTGACTCGGTTAGACTTTTTTTTAGCTCCAAAAAGAAGAAACATTGGGTCCATTTAAAGAATCATATTCAGTGACAACTCCTGAAACACACTGAAACCTCTGCAGGAAAATCTGAATATGGTTGACCCTTTGTGATCTCACATCACTTGATCACATGGTTGACATCTGCAGAGAGACAGATTGTCTGTAAATTACAGGATTTGCCTTCAATCTGCATGAATACAGATGTAAAGAGAAATTTATTTTACGTCTCCCCACCTCTGCTCCTCTGCTCTGCGGGCACTGTTATCTCCTCCTCACATTCTGTCTTTCCCCGCAGCACAGTCCACTTAAAGCCCGCCCTCTTGTATTGTGTGTGAATAATACAGATTTTATTGTGAAAATTATGAAATTGTGAGGCTTAGGAAACATGTAAAAGTCTGAAGGGGTTGACATGTATGCACCCTACAATGATTTTAACAGATAAATCAACTAAACAAAAACAATTTGAAGCTWTAACTGTGTGTTTTTTGACTAGCTGTACAGGAGTTTACACAAACAGGTTGTTTGATATTCATCACTGCTTCTGAAAAGCACGAAGGTCAATAACAGCAGCTTTCATGTTAATTTAGTTAATGCCCTAATAAAAAAACAATAATATTTTATAACATAATAAAAACAGAATGTAAAGTTTGGCAAATTTTAAACCTATTTTTCCTCACAATCAAACACAGTCAAACCAACGGTCACATGAAGAAARCATTTTTGTTCTAAAAGATGTTTATATATTCCTGCATTGATGGATGTGTCAGGTGTCCATGTCAGAMACACTAATGCACCCCTATACCACCAGAGAGGCAGGCTTTAGAACTGTGCTCTGACACCAGGCCAGGTGTCGTCAGACCACAGAACAGTTTTCCACTGTGCTTCAGTTCYTTTTAAATGAGCTCTGGACCACAGAATGATGATGTTTTCACCCATGGCTTCATTGTTGCGTGATAGAGCTTTAACCAGCATTTGTGGATGGCACGGTAAACTGAAGTCCAACGATCCTTTGACTTTCAACCTTTAGTTCTTTGAGCTCAAAGATTTCTTCATATTCTTGAAGTCTTTTAATAATATCAATATTTTCTTAATTTTCCATTGAGACTAATTGATTTACAAATCGTTTCTTTCTGTATTTATATTTTACCRAAAGCTCAGACGTTTTCAGATTTGAGATTGTAGATGATTTTTAACTTTAAAGCTTTTAAAACATAAACTTATTGAAATTCTAAAACTCAGCATCATTTATCTCAGAAGCAGGTTTAGTATTAAAGCTTAGCGTCAACACACAACACAAACAGCTAATCCTTTGCCTCATCATACATAAACCATTCCACCATATATCCTTGTAGAGTGTGTGTTTGTGTTGACTCACCCAGCGCAGGCTCAGCACAGTCTTTGTACTGCTCAGGTGTGCAGTACGAGGCGTCACCTGGGAACGGGATTAAGAATGCACGTTACAGGAGGCATCGACTCYTGTTTAAACAAACATTAACTTCTCYCTGTAAACACGTGTGTGAATGAAACGTTCTGAGAGGAAGAGCGCACCCCTGTTCTCCTGGAGCTTTTCAGAACGCCAACATCTAATCCAGTATCGACCGGTTGTATCAACAAGAAGCTCTGATGCTGCCGATTCTACAGAAAACATCCGCTGACGAGTGCAGGGGGAGGACGTACCAGGCATGTGAACCATCCTGCAGTTGCAGTTCTCCACGATGTAGCGCGTCTCGCAGTCGATCCTGCAGGCCGTCACGCTGTAGACCTGAAAGAAGCCCGACTCCAGGGCTTTGGACTCGCACTCTCCCCATGGGGGAGGCAGATAGGTCAGCTGCAGAGGAAAAACAAAAAACAGGTTTGTTGATGGCAAATCAAACAATTCTAACAATAAATAAATAAATAAATAAAAAAGAGAAAACATTCTGAACAACATTTTGAATAACGCCAACATTTCAACACTGCTTTATAATAATCTTAGGCCGTATTCACACCTGACACGTCTCAAAAACCAGCTGGTCACAGTTTTAAACAGRAAATAAGACGAGTTAAAGAGAGTCTGAGATAAAAACAGTACAAAATATATTTATTTATTTGGAAGATGAAGGGTATAAGTAAACAGTAAAATATACTGATGATAAATATTTTAAAAAATTATGTTTTCTATGTAAGATCAGGAGCAGTAAATGTAAATTGACAGAGCTAACATGTATTATGATAT